TTATGAGAGGATGGTACCTCAAATCTTTACCCCGGAAAACTGCCTAGCCTACTTCGTCTCATATGGCAAAACAAAGAAGATTTGCACCCGGAAGTTTTCAAGGGCACCAGGGTGCCAGAGAGCTTAGAGCAGGAGTGAGTCCGAGCCAAAGGGTCTGGTCAGGAGACGCTGATACCATCCAGGGAGAGGTCTTGAAGGCTCCGCGGCTGCCTCTGAGGAAGGGGAGAAGGTCCAAGGCAGCAAGTGCATTGGTGACGGGCTGTGTGCAGAGGGCAAAGGAAAGAGGCTTTAACAAGGACCCCGGGCTTGTAAGGCCAGAGACACGCAAGAGAGGCAAGGTAAGCTGAAGCGCAGAAGGGACTGATTCTCATGACACGTTCAGTAGCTTGCAGAATCTTCATAAAGTCTACATTCAGTATGGAAACTTTGAACTCTAATCGCTGAACTTGTGGACACGATAGAGACGATTTATGTAAACATCGTTCGCGAGCATGTTGGACTTCCCTCTCAGAGTAAATCCGGACTTTGATTGCTGTTAGCCTTAGAGGAACAGCTTACCCTTTTTCTCTGCAACATCCATTTTCATTTGTCACAGGACCTGTATTAGATTGCATATAATTGTGGAATTAAAGTGTCCTAATCTTACATAAAAATTGCTTTTAAAAGGCATTTGCAAATAGTTTCCATGGAACCCTCAACTTGAATCCTAAAAGTGCAAAACTCTGAGAGCACAATGTGAAGATCTTACATTGCAAAAAAGTTCAGATTGTATATCTAGGCCATGTCTAAGAGGAGAAGGAAGGCCTATGGGCTTATGGAGGTTTAGGGTTAGAAAAGGAATGACATTTATTTTTTTAAAAATACTTTGTGTGGGTTATAGGTGGAAGTTAACATATAGACATGGAGAACCGATCGGTGGTTACCAGGGGGTGGGGGGAGGGCACAAAGGGTGAGGTGGTGTACCCACAACATTACTAACAATAATGTACAACTGAAATCTCACAAGGTTGTAATCTATCACAATCTTAATAAAAAAAAAAAAAGAATACATGAGGCAGACCTCAAAAAAAAAAACACAAAAACTCTGTGTGGGGTCAGCTCGGTGGCGCAGTGGTTAAGTTTGCACGTTCTGCTTCTCAGCGGCCCGGGGTTTGCCAGTTAGGATCCCGGGTGAGGACGTGGCACCGCTTGGCAAGCTATGCTGTGGGAGGCATCCCACATATAAAGTAGAGGAAGATGGGCATGGATGTTAGCTCAGGGCCAGTCTTCCTCAGCAAAAAGAGGAGGATTGGCAGTAGTTAGCTCAGGGCTAATCTTCCTCAAAAAAAAAAAAAAAAGAAACAACAACTCTGTGTGCTTATGCACATGTCCATGGGTGGAAATGCATAGGAAGCCAATCAGCAGGGCAGGAATGCTGTGAACATGGTTCCCTCTGAGGAGGAGGGTGGGAAGGGGGCGGAGGGAGGGGACTTTCACCTCTTTGGTATTTATTCTCTAGGATCATTTGAATCACTTAAATTGAGACTATATTCACAAATTAAATGTGTGATTTGAAAGAATTAAAGGAAGATAAAGGCAAAAATGTCTCCTAGGACTGCTGTAACAAAGTACCACAAACCGAGGGGCTTAAAACAACAGAAATTGATGGTCTAACCTTTCTGGGGGCTAGAAGTCCAAAATCAAGGTATCAGCAGGGCCGTGTTCTCTCTGAGATTCTGGGTAGGATCCGTCCTACCGTCCTTGCCCCTTCCAGCTTCTGGTGTTGCTGGCGACCCTGGCATTCCTTGGCTGGCAGCTGCATCCTTCCATCTCTGCCTTCTTCAGTCTCTGCCTCCATCAGCATGTGGAGTTCTTGAGTGTCTGTCTTCACATGGCTGTCTCCCCTCTTCTTGTAAGGACACCAGTCATTTTGGATTAAGGGCCCACCCTACTTCAGTATGACCTCATCTTAACTGATGACATCTGCAAAGACCCTATTTCCAAATAAGGCCACATTCTGAGGTATCGCGGGTTAGGACTTCAACATATCTTTTTTGGGGACACAGTTCAACCCAAAACAACATACCAAAGCTGGTACTGGAGTTCTCATTTTCTCTTCCCACCAAACTTGACTTATAATGTTCCACTTCCTATCCCCCTTCCCTTTAAAAAACATCACATGTAACAATGAAGTGGCAGAAAGAGAAATTATGAGAACAATACCATTTACAATTGCAACAAAAAGAATAAAATACCTAGGAATAAATTTAACCAAAGAGATGAAAGATCTGTACATTGAAAACTATAAAACATTGTTAAAAGAAACTGAAGAAGACACAAAGAAATGGAAAGATATTCTGTGCTCTTGGATTGGAAGAATTAGCATAGTTAAAATGTCCATACTTCCTACACATTCAATGCAGTCCTTATCAAAGTTCCAATGACATTTTTCAGAAATAGAAGAAAGAATCCTAAAATTTATATGGAACAACAAAAGACCCCGAATAGCCAAAGAAATCCTGAAGAAAAAGAACAATGCTGGAGGTATCACACTCCTTGATTTCAAAATATACTACAAAGCTACAGTAATCAAAACAGCATGGTACTGGCCCAAAACAGACACACAGATCGATGGAACAGAATCAAGAGCCCAGAAATAAATGCACACATCTGTGGACAGCTAATTTTTGACAATGGAGCCAGAACACACAATGGAAAAAGGAAATTCTCTTCAGTAAATGGTGTTAGGAAAACTGGACAGCCACATGCAAAAGAATGAAAGTAGACCATTCTCTTACACCATATACAAAAATTAACTCAAAACTGATTAAAGACTTGAATATAAGACCTCAAATAATAAAATTTCTAGGAGAAAACATAGGCAGTACACTCTTTGACATCAGTCTTAGCAGCATATTGTCAAGTACCATGTCTGACTGGGCAAGGGAAACAATAGAAAAGATAAACAAATGGGACTACATCAAACTAAAAAGCTTCTGCACAGCAAAGGAAACCATCAACAAAATGAAAAGACAACCTAACAATTGGGAGAAGATATTTGCAAACCATATATCTGACAAGGGGTTAATATCCAAAATATATAAAGAACTCTTACATCTCAACAACGAAAGAACTAACCCAATTAAAAAATGGGCAAAAGTGGTGGCCTGAGCCGTTGGTCCTGCGCCGAGATGCTTCAAAGCCTTATCAAAAATGTTTGGGTCCCCATGAAGCCCTACTATACCCAAGTTTACCAGGAGATTTGGGCAGGAATGGGGTTGATGGGCTTCATTGTTTATCAAATCAGGAGTGCTGACAAAAGAAGTAAAGCTTTGAAAGCTTCGAGTCCTGTGCCTGCACGTGGTCATCATTAATCAGCTTTACTTGGAGTGCGCATCAGATGGAATGTCAATCTGGCTGTAAATTTCAACAAGCTATGTTAGATGAACACATGGAACATCGCTGTACACTTATAGGAGTGCCGTTTCCTCATGGCCTGAATAAATGTACCTATGAGATGCAAAAAAAAAAAAAAAAAAAAAAATGGGCAAAGGATCTGAAACAGACATTTTTCCAGAGAAGATAAACAGATGGCCAACAGGCCCATGAAAAGATGTTCAACATCACTAATTATTAGGGAAATGCAAATCAAAACTACAATGAGATATCACCTCTCTCCTGTCAGAATGGCTATAATTAACAAGACGAGAAATAGCAGGTGTTGGAGAGGATGTGGAGAAAAGGGAACTGTCACCCACTGCTGGTGGGAGTGCAAACTGGTGCAGCCACTATGGAAAACAGTATGGAGAATCCTTAAAAAATTAAGAGTAGAACTACCATATGATCCAGCTATTCCACTGCTGGGTATTTATGCAAAGAACATGAAAACATGAATGCCTAAAGATATATGCACCCCTATATGCATTGTAGCATTATTCACAATAGCCAAGACTTGGAAGCCACCTAGGTGCCCACTGAGGGACAAATGGATAAAGAAGATGTGGTATATATGCAAAATGGAATACTACTCAGCCATAAAAAGATGAAATCTTGCCATTTGTGACAATATGGCTGGACCTTGAGGGTATTATGCTAAACGAAATAAGTCAGAGGGAGAAAGTATAAATACCGTATGATCTTAGTCGTAAGTAGAAGATAAAAACAACAACAAACAAACACATAGAGACAGAGATTGGATTGGTGGTTACCAGAGGGGAAGGGGGGAGGGAGGAACATGAAAGGGGTGAGTAGGCACATGTGTATTGTCGTAGATGACAATTAGTCTTTGGGTGGTGAACGTGATGTGATCTACACAGAAATCGAAATATCGTGATGTACACCTGAAATGTATATAGTGTTATAAACCAATGTCACCGCAATTAAAAGTATAATACAAAAATTAGATGATTAAAAAATAGGAATAATAATAAAAGTAAAATATATCATATGTAGATTTTGGTAAGTGATAGTATTGTGTACACCAGGAAAGTTCTGGAGGGAGGAGCTAGTACCTGCTGGGGACCAATCCTGGACAATTACAGAGGAGAGAGTCATCCCAAGAAATTTACCAGTGGAGTGACATCCCAGCAGGAAATTGTAGTGCTGACCTGTGGGCTACTGTTAAAACACTTTAGAGTCTTCATTTTTGGGTTTTGCCAGCCCATAAAATTATAGTCACCATGGCTGATGTCATTTGAAGTTCTATATGCTTGAAACCTCATAAGTTGAGTGAATGTGTGTGTGCGAGTGTGTTTGTGTGTATATGTGTATGTGTGTGAGTGTGTATGTTTGTGTCAGTGTGTCTGTGTGTGTGTGTACCGAGTGTGAGTATGTGAGGTCAAGATTAAGGTGCAATGATGATGTCAGTTGAATATCAGGATTTCTACGGATGTCCCTTGCTAAGGGAAGCCTTGCAGCCTAAAGCCTGTGAATTTGGATATTATAGCAAATTATATGGCAATAGTTTAAGTGATTTTCTTCTTTTAGTGGCTAGTGGAACTCAGGATTTTTTTCTCCCACAGGCGTCTGATGTACCTGCTGGACACTGGCTTTTGGCTATAAAATTTGCAGAAAAAAAGACAGAGAAAGCTAGAGAAATGCTAGTCTATCACTACCATCTGGAGCTCGAAGCAGGAAAAAAAGACTACGTCGATAGAGGGGAAGGAGGGAGAAGAGGTGGAAGAGAGAAAGAGAGAGAAACACAGGCAGACAGACACCAACTTGAATCAGAAAGCAAATAGACCCGTGCTCCCCAGGGGCCTCACCAAAAGCAGAGTTGGGTGAATTATAAAGATTATGTTTTCAGTGAAGCTCTGAGATAAGAATAGAGCTAGCATAAACGCTGTTGTGGGAAAACTTAAGAACTAGTAGAAAGGTTCAGTTATGCAAGGTAGAGTTAGTAATAATTTCATCTGAAATTCAGCATTTCTAGTAGTTCTAAACGTATGTGTACACACAAGCATGATTTCCTAGCAGACCGTGTGCAACCACGAGGTCTCTAATCCCCTGGCGGGGACTTCATCAGTGACATTTTCAGATGTCTTGGAGCTGCCTCCCTGGGAGAGCAGTGGTGGTGTTTGTGGGGTCAGGTTCACCAGATTGGTAAGCAGACAGGTGTGTTTTTAGAAATCAGGCCGCTCATATTAAGGCTTGGATATTAGATTCTGTCGTCTCAGGAAACTAAACAACTACCCACTCACCTCTTTACCTAATAAATTGGTAAGATGAAAGCAAATTCTAGAAGCATAATTAAAGCAAACGTATAAAAAATTGCTGTAGAGATACAACTAGGAATGTATGGAGGTTTGAGGGTAAAGTAGAGCTTAAGCAAATCCTAAAGCTCCAGGAACTGCGGTAGCTACAGGGGGACCAGGCGCGAAACCGCGAGACACGGAATTGCCATCAGGGTTTCTGGATAAGTTTAGATCTTTTCTTTTGCAGGGGTGGTCATGTTGGCATTTTCTGAGTCAGATTTAGTAAGCAGATAAGCCTTTCACGGACAGAGGAGAATTGAAAAAATATGGCCAATGTTATTATTATTAATTTGTTAGTTCAATAATGAAAATGCGTGGAGTACTTGCTAACTGCTGTACAGTTAAGCGTGCATTTTCAGTAGATGTGATTTGTAGCTGCTTACTTTTTTCAGTATAATTTTCTTACCTTTAAAGGCAGTGCTGTTGTCTTTTTTGTTTTGTTTTGTTTTGCAGAAAGCCTATCTGAATTTATAATGGAAGGATTCATTTAGCGGAAATTCACTTTAAGGAAACTTTAAAAAATTCTATTCTGCATTAGGTGAGAGATGTCTACACTGAGAAGGGGATATTAATATGCGCCTAAATGGCAAAATGCTTCCCTGAAAGCAAATAATTTTGCTTGATATCCGTACATGAGCTTAAATCACCAAAGAGTAGAATGTTTTAAAGTCTATTCGTTCTTAAAGAGAGAAACCATCTCTTAAGAAATCTCCGCCAGGGCAGGGACTATGTTTTAACTGTCTTTGTATCACCCACAGCACCCAGCTCAGAGCTTGGAATAGAAAATATGCTCAAAACGTATTCTTTGAAGGAGTGTTAGGTTTGGGTATCAAACCTGAAAGTGCTATTTCTTTACCTACGATTGTCAATGGTGGCTTTTTAAAATGACATTTTCCCTGCTCTCGGTGATAATTAATGCTCAGTTCAGACTGCAGGGTTTGGATGAAGAAATCTGAACAATGGCTAGACAAGACAAAGCCTGTTAAATCTTATGCAGGCTTCTCTGTCTGCTAATGCGGTTTAGAATTATATGTTAGGAGCATTGTATACCAGAAGAATATTGATTGCATTTCAGATAATGCAATTTACAGTTAATAAGATGGTTAGGCTGGTCCAGGGAAATATTTGTTTTGTTCAATAATGTTAGACAGAAAACATACATTTTAATAAATACTGCATGAGAACAATCCTTTTGGGTGAACTTCAAGGAAATAAATGTGCTACCATATGGCCACACATCAGTGGATTTTCACATTTCTAAAATCTGGAGAGATGTATTCTCAGTAATTCTTTGCTTTACAGATAGATTCTTTTGAATTGTTCTTGTTTAAATATCAGAAACCTTTGGCTGGCATTTTGTATGTAACCTTTAATATCTAAGGTTGATACTTATAGGACAGAATATACAGTGTGATCCCATTTGTTTAAATAAATATACATTTATAGGTACACATGCACACACACACACACACTTATACAATTCTGGAAGACTAAATCTCTAACTTCATAGTGATTTCAGTGAGGATCAAGGCAGAGTGAGATTATAAGATATTTTTACATTTAGAGTTACATGTTTCTGTGATATTTGAATTTTTATAATAACCATATATTGCTTTTGTAATCAGAAGAAGATATATTAATAGACAGAGCTGAGTTGATGACATCGACAATGAAAACAGTATTGCAAAGAGCCTGAAAGTAATCTAGTTGCAGAGTCATCTATCAAAACAGCTCCCTGCTTGCATGTACACGGATGACGGCTGCAGCACTGCCCGAAATGGCATAAGCCCTGCCACTCCTCAGAAGTCCATCACAGGAGGGAGGGAAAGAGGACATGTGGAGGTGTGTCTGTCTGCGCACTGGGAGAATCTTGTAGGGGATGCACGATGAGAAGCTGGTAATCCTAAGGGAGCCTTGTCGCTGGAGTGGGCTTTTTCATTTTGTACCATAAGCTGAGCCACATGTGAAAAAAACAAATTAAAATGTTAAAAGGCTTTGTTAGGTCCACAAACCACAACTACTGGTCAAGAAAGGACAGGAACCTGACGGGATGGTTTCACTTTTCTCCCAGCGGCCTTCTCATACCTGGGTATCTGTTTTATTCACCCCCCAACAGGGCCTCCCAAACCATTGGTGCTGAAAGACCAGCTTTGTTTTGCTTTTTATTTCCCCAATGCCTTGCAGACCGATACTTGAATAGAATCAATAAAAATGGATTACTGGAAAAATGAAATTAAAAAACAACAAAGACATATCAAATTCAAGGTCCAATATTTTTATTATTAGATCGAACAGACATTAAATTCCTCTGTCTGTCAAATTGCTTTTAAACAGTGGTTCTCAGCTGGAGTGGGGAAGCCGTGACTTTGCCCCCCCCAGGGGACATTTGGCAATGTCTGGAGACATTTGGTTGTCACAGTTGTGGAGGGTGGTGTTTCCTGGCATCTCGTGGGTAGAGGCCAGGGCTGCTGCTAAGATCCTACAGGGCATAGGACAGCCTCCGACACTAAGGAATTGTCAGGCTCAGAATATCAATAGTGCTAAGGTTGAAACTCCTTGTTTTATGTTTTTAGTGGTTAATCTCGGTTTTTGTATTTATCTTTCGGCAGAACGGTAACATTTTGGACCCCGGTCCACAGACTACATTTTGAGAAGTCTTCCCTAATGTGCTTACTTTGAACTCTGACCCAGTGAAGTTGCCAAACAAATCACTACCAGAATTCTCTCATCCTTGACATTTGGGAGGGTCCACATAAACAATGCACAGGAACCAGCACAGGAAAAAGGAGCTTGGTGATGTAATCAAACGAAACGTTAACAAATTATTCTCTGCAGATGGCGACACCGGCGCTTGAAGCTCAGCTTGTCACTTCCTAGCTGTGTGAGCCTGGGCAAGTTAGTTAATATCTCCAGGCCACCATTTCCCCCTGTGAAATGGGAATACCACCCTCTTCATAAGGCTCTTGTGAGGATTAGAGTAAATAATTCCTTTCGAGAGTGCCTGCCCCACAGTGGCACCCAATACATATCCTCAGCTTAGCTCACTCTCTAATTCCTCTGTCAAAGGACTCCACCCCAGGTCCCTGAGGACCCCAGAGCATCTTTCCTTCTTCTCAGTCTCTTTATTTCCGTCGTGGGGTTGGGACACCACTCCTGGTACTTTCTCCTCCTCCTCCTCAGAGAAGAGTGGGCCCACCAGGAGCTTCCAGGCCCCCAGAGCTGTTCAGGAGGGAGGGCGCGGCCTAACTCTCCTGAGAAGATTCAGTGAAATCACTTCGTAAACTGGAAGGCGCAATGCAAATGTGAGCAATCACTCACGGTTCAGCCACTATTTATTGGGTCCTTCCTCACGAGATGCCCTCAGTGGGAGACAGAACTAAGGGAAAAAAAGAGGCCTCCACCAAGCTTGCCACCTGCTAGCAAGCCGTGCATTTTGTGAGGCCCCCCGGTGTTTGAAGAGCAGAACCTGGCTCCCGTGTGTTCACCAGCAAAAGCAAGCAGGGAGGAAGAGAAAAGACAATTTGTGAAGAAGCTTCTAGTATAACTTGTGAGGCAGCCACAGGGCAGGCAGCTCAGGCTCTGGCAGGAACTATTGGAAAGGATCCCACCCAACCAATTCCAGTAACTGTCCAGCTAGCTCTTGTCCTCCCATCCAGACCTGGAGCGGCAGGACCACCACCTGGCAGTGGGCCTCGCCGACCTGGCTCGGGCGACCCAGTGTGGAGCCTCCTGTGGGCCTGTTCTAGGCTCAGGGAGCCAGGTGGAGGTGGCCGGGGCCCAGGGCTGGACACCCCCCCCCCCCCCCCCCCCCCCCCCCCCCCCCGTGCAGGCAGGGAGGAATCGCAGCTCTTAGGGGCCACGTGGTGGAGCAGGGCGGAGCTGGGCCAACCTCCCATTGTGGCAAAAAGACCCTTGTCAGGTGACACCTGAGGGCTGTCCACCACAGGCCCAAAAAGACTGCTGCTTCCAAAACTCTTTTTCTTGAGAATCCTTCCCTCTCTTTCATAATTGCTGTGTGTGAGTCATGCTCTGGATGTCGCTGGGGCAACTGTGAAGGAGGACCTGTCAGCGGGTGCTCTCAGGTTGCGTTCTGAGTAAGCGGCAGGTGCCTGAGAGTCAGCTGCTTTTCAGGCTGTGGCTTGGCGGTGACGGGAACAAGAGCCTCACAGAGCAGTCCAGAGGCCAGAAGTTTGCACCGAAGACAGGATGGATGGGGAAAGGTATGACTGAATAGCAAATGTGTCAACTACCCTAGCTGCCTGGGAGGAAAAATCTGTTCTGTTCCAAATCCACATTATTTCAGCTACCTCCTCACGTCTGCATCACCCACAGCATCATCGCTGCTGTCAGTGGAGGGACTGGAGAAGATGGTTTGTTGATCATCTTCTGTGCCCGAGGCATGGGCAGACCCTGGGTATGTGAAGAGAGCTGAGACGTAATTTCTCTCCCACAGACACTCATATCCCAGGCGTGAGGTGAACTATAAACTAATAATGACCACACATGGGTCAAGTGCTATAAAAATGCATTTAACAAGGATTTGGGACCAGTGAGGAAGAAGCCAAGGAGGGCCCAGGAACAAAGAAATGGTCCCTATGCTTCCCTGCAGGGTCCTGATACAGGTTCTCAACCTTTGAAGCTGACAACAGCTGAGATCGTGCCCTGACTACCTGCAAACGCTTTGTCGTTTTATGACTTTTCATTTTAATTCATATTATCAGGTTTCGCTCCGTGGCTGAACATACAGCCTCAAACTGTATGTTAATCTTACTTACCCAGGTCTTCTCATGATACGTTATAAAAATACCTTTCCACCCAGCACATGCTTTGTGTCACTATCTAACTTATGTCCTGTATGACGTGTCTTTCATTTCCAAAAGCAACTCATTCCTATAAACGTTCCTGCAGCTCTTTAAGCCTATAGACTTTGGTTCCAGGCATAACTGGAGGAGGAACCCACAAACAACCCCAACACGCTCCACTCTACATCTGAGATTTCTTCATATTTTCAAAGAAAAGGATATGGGAGTTTACTCATATATAAATATAATAAATATAAATACTGATATATAGGGGCTGGCTTGGTGGCGCAGTGGTTAAGTGTGCACATTCTGCTACGTTGGCCCGGGGTTCACTGGTTGGGATCCTGGGTGAGGACATGGCACCACTTGGCAAGCCATGCTGTGGTAGGCGTCCCACATATAAAGTAGAGAAAGATGGGCATGGATGTTAGCTCAGGGCCAGTCTTCCTCAGCAAAAGAGGACGATTGGCAGCAGTTAGCTCAGGGCTAATCTTCCTCAAAATAAATAAATAAATAAATACTGATATATAAATGTATATGTACATGAGTATGTATGATAAATATAAATAACATAAATGATATATGAGTATACTCATCTCTTTTTTTTGGCATGTTATTCTCGTATTATTACTTTTTCTATTAAATGAGGCAATTAGTGCATTTTCCGAGGCCGAGCTCTTTGCAGGTGAAGCCGTGACTCAACTTTGCCACAATGAGGTATTCTGGGGGCTTTTGAAAGTCTGGAGACATCATTAAGATTAGTAAAAACAGGATGGTCAAAGTCATGCAAACTGAAAGTACAAAAAGAACCATTTTCACTTTTGATGGTTTGATGAAACTTTCTATTCTCTGGCTTCATAATTCATAAGCATCAAAGTCAAGGAAATTGTGGTGACATAATTTTGCAGTCACAGCTTCTGAGTCTCAGAAATGCATTCAGCTGAATTGAAAGTAGTATTTTTTTAATTTAAAATGGGTGAAATATAGATTCATAGTTTTAGAGTCAGAATCAGGTTAATGACTGGAAAGAGCCTTTGAGAAAATTTGTTCCAAAGCCGTCATTTTACAGATGAATACAGCTAGTTTATGACTGGCAGCTCCTTTAACCTCCCAGGGCTCAGCTTCCTGGTCTGTGAAATGAGAGGCTGGGTTGTATGAACTCTTGATCCCCTTCTAACCCAACATATTATAGGATACTGATGAATGGTTGTTGAGTGAAGGAAGCTTAATGCCCAGAGAGGCTGGTTGATTTGCCTGAGACAAACCAACAGGGACAGACCCAAATCTTCTGACTCCCGGTCATTGCTCTTTATACAGGCTTAGAGAAAAGACCTTGAATTTTGTAAAAGTACTTAGAGATTAATGAAGAAGATGCCATAAGAAGAGAAAAAAATAAAAACTTAACTCTATACCCAAACTGAGTCAAACAAACTTCTAATTACATTTCAATTATCTGCATGTCTGCTTTTTAATCCTAGGCTGGCTTCCCTCAGACATTCCGCTCATGTCCCTGATGTACCAGGATGCACTGAAGGAAGGTCAACCAGTGTTGCGGTTTTCACTGCTACGTGACAAACTTCTCCAAAATGAGGCTTACAACAATTTATTATTATCTCTTGTTGTAGGTTAAATTGTCTCTTCCTCAAAAGGCATGTTGAAGTCCTAACCCTTGGTACCTGTGAATGTGACCTCATTTGAAAATAGGGTCTTTGCAGACGTCATCAAGTTAAGATGAGGTCCTTAGGGTGGGCTCAAATCCTATGTAACTGGTGTCCCCATAAGAAGAGGGACATTTGGACACAGGGCCTCCCAGAGGGAAGCAGGCCAGTGAAGTTGGAGGCAGAGATCAGACTGATGCTACCACAAGCCAAGAAACACCTGGGCCCACCAGAAGCTGGAAGAGACAAGGAAAGACCCTACCCTAGACATTTCGGAAGGAGCACGGCCCTGCTGACACCTTGCTTTGTTTGTGTACTTGGTTAAGGCAGCCCTCGGAAACAACACACTTCTTGTGTTTTTGTGGGTTGAGTGGGCTCAGCTGGGTTCTTCTCTCTCAGGATGTCTCAGATGGTGGCTGGGACTGGAGTCATCTGAAGGCTTGACTGGGCTGCATGTCAAAGGTGGGGCATTCACGTGGCCACAGCTGATGCTGTCGTTGGCTGGAGGCTCAGCTGGGTCTGTGAACCTGAACACCTACATGTGGCCTCTCCACATGGCGTGGATTTCTCACAGCATGGCAATGTCTCAAGAATGACCGTTGCAAAGATGCAGGAAGTGGAAACTGCTGGGCCGGTAAGGCCCTGGCCAGAAATTGGTGCAGCATCCGTTCTGCTGTATTCTAGTAGTCACACCCATCAGGGGGGTGCAACCCACTTGAAAGCCAAACATTAGTGATTGAGGGACGTTCTTTGAGATTTCTGAGCCCTCGCTATCCACTGGTAACGCTGATTAACAAGATGAGGTTGTAGAAAACATTATTCCTCAGGATTGTAAGTGACACCTTGGGACCCAGAAGAGCTAACGAGGCCCCATGGGTTCTAAATACAAGAAGAGCTTCAAGCCAATCCTCCTCCTCCCTGGCCCCCAGAACCTTCCTCACCCCTGGGTCACAGCTTAGGAGGCTGGAGGAGACATTGCCTCTGTCCCTGCTTTGAAGCATTTATTGCCCTGTTTGCTGATGCTTTAGCTGACGAGGAGAGATTCTCCCTAAAAGCCTCACGATTCTTTATTCAACGTGCCTTCTTCGCTAAGTGCCTTCTGGGGGTCTGTCTCGTGTTGGCTGCTGAGTCTAGGAAATAAATAGGAATTTTAGAAGTTCAAAAGAAAACAAACTGCCTGTACTCTAGGGAGATGGAGCCAAGAAGCCTCTCTTATCCTTCTTCCTTCTTCCTCTCTGAACTGTAGAAGGTGTAGGAGCTCTGGGTCCCAGAGCCATCCTGGCCATGTCTGTCTCTAGACATGCTTTTCTTTCCCACTGGGTGACCCAGGGTGACTGGCTGGAGATGCTGTCTGGGCCTGAGGAGGCCCCCGGAGCAAGCTCTGGGGCAAGCACGTCCTAGTTATGTGAGCTCTTTATGACCTGAGATTTCAGGAGGGGTTAGTGCCTGCGAGGGCCACCGTCCCGGAGGAGCCAGGTTCCTGCTCTCCGGTCCTGCTGTCCAGGAGTGGCATGCAGAGTGCTTAGAAGAGAGAGAGCGGCACCACCCTCTGGTGGACTGCAGACGCGGCTTTGAGGTTATTCACAAGAAGGGATTGTCTTCTTCTGCGGCCTTTTATACTGCTCACGTGGGAGCCCTGGAAGGACCTGTGCTGCCTTCGGGGTCCATCAAAGGGAGGGGTGAGGTTGGGGTTGGGGGAAGAGACTGGAGGCCGCTTGTCGTTTTTTTAAAAATATATTTTAAATATATCTATTATTTATTTATTTTTTGAGGAAGATTAGCCCTGAGCTAACATCTGCTGCCAATCCTCCTCTTTTTGCTGAGGAAGACTGGCTCTGAGCTAACATCCGTGCCCACCTTCCTCTACTTTATATGTGGGACACCTACCACAGCATGGTGTGCCAAGCGGTGCCCTGTCCGCACCTGAGATCCGAACTGGTGAACCCCAGGCTGCCGAAGTGAAATGTGTGAACTTAACTGTTGTGCCACAGGGCCGGCCCCTGTATTTTTAAATATATGTTTATATCTTTAAATATATAAATATGTCTTTACTTTTTTAGAAGAGTTTTCGTTTTACAGCAAAATGGAGAGGAAGGTACAGAGAGTTCCCATATACCCCTCGCCCCCAACATGCACAGCCTCCCCACTGTCAGCATCCCCCGCAGAGTGGGACATTTGTTACAGTCGATGAACCTGCAGAGACACATGCTAATCACCTGAGTCCACAGCTTACATTACGGTTCGCTCTTGGGTTGTACATTCTATGGTTTGGACAAATGTTTAATGACATGTATCCGCATTATAGTATCATCCAGAATAGTCTCACTGCCCTAAAA